TACCTTAATCTAATCGTCATAAACCTTTCCCACTCTGCGGACTGCTCGCCTTTACTACTTCCTTCACCGCTCCCTACGTCTCGGACCTGTTTTCCTCCCTTCCCATAGCATATAAGGATTGCAGATCCCTTAATCTAATCATCATGAACAGTTCCCACACTCCGGAATGCTCGCATTTATTCCTACTTTCTTCACCACTTCCTACGTCTCGGACCTGTTTCCCTCCCTTCCCTTGGCATTATTGGATTGCAAATACCTTAATCTATTGGTCATAAACAGATCCCACTCTCCGAACAACTCGCCTTTACTACTTCCTTCACCACTTCCTACGCCATGGGCCTGCTTACTTCCCTTTCCATAGCATTTTAGTTTTGCAGACACCTTAATCTAATCGTCATAAACAGTTCCTACACTCCGGACTGCTTGCCTTGTCTATTTCCTTCACCACTTCCTACATCGCGGACCTTTTTTCCCCCTTCCCATAGCATTTTAGGATTGCAGATACCTTAATCTAATCGACACTAACAGTTTACACAGTCCAGACTGCTTGCCTGCACTACTCTCATCACCACTTCCTACGTCACGGACCTGTTTCCTCCCTTCCCATAGCATCATAGGATTGCAAATACCTTAATCTAATGGTCATAAACAGATCCCACACCCCGAACAGCTCGACTTTACTACTTCCTTCACCAATTCCTACGTCGCGGACCTGTATCCTTTCCATCCAATAGCATTTTAGGATTGCAGATACCTTAATATAATCGTCATACACAGTTTCCACACTCCGAACAGCTCACCTTGACTACCTTCACCACTTCCTACGTCACAGACCTGTTTCTCTCCCTCCCCTTAGCATTATTGGATTGCAAATACCTTAACCTATTGGTCATCAACAGATCCCAAACTCCAAACAACTCGCCTTTACTACTTTCTTCACCACTTCCTACGTCACGGACCTGTTTCCCTCCCTTCCCATAGCATTTTAGGATTGCAGATATCTTAATCTAATGGTCATAAACAGATCCCACACCCCGAACAGTTCGCCTTCACTGCTTCCTTCACCACTTCCTACGTCGCGGACCTTTTTCCTTCCCTTCCAATAGCATTTTAGGATTGCAAATACCTTAATCTAATCGTCATAAACAGTTTCCACACTCCAGACTGCTCACCTTTACTACTTCCTCCACCTCTTCCTACGTCACGGACCTCGAGCTAGTGTCGTCATTTGATTATATTTATGATCCATACCGTTTCTGTTATTATATCTGTGGAATAATGCTGTCCGCTATTCCTTTATCTACTGCGTTCAAAAGTCAACAGCTGACAATATGTCTTTGTTTTTGTTTATGTGTCAAATACTTCTTCCATAAGGATTACATTGAAACTTTGAGACCCAGTGGGGCGGATTCCTGAGAGACTTTTTTAACGCCATATAGATGTTGGCACTCACCGATATGGTCTTTATCACTATGCAAAATTTGAAAACGATTGATTCAGCCGTCTAGGAGGAGTTTGCGTATTACGAAATGCATAAGAGTCGACGTATAAGAGCTTCGCTCGCTCCGCTCAATTAGCAAACTTATTAACTGTTTATATTAACATGCTCTTCTTCTCACTATTGATTTCTGACAACAGCTGGAGTTTCATAACAATTTTTGTTTCCAATGTTAATCTTATGGAGAAATTCAAAACTTTAAAGGGCTTCAGGGCCTCACTCTCTCAGTATTTCCCTAAAAAGAAAGTTTCCTGCACAACTTCACGTTACTCTAGCCAATGACACCAAAAACATGACAATCGGTTCAGTAGTTTCGGAGGAGTAATTGTCACAAAAAAACTGCTTGCGTATTAAATAAGTATAGATTCGCCAAATGTACAGGCAAATCAAAATACCAGACGACCAAAGATATCAGATGGTACTCTGGCGTAACTCTCCCTCTCTTCCCATGTCAGTATTTAAATTGACTACTGTCACTTACGGCATGAACTGCTCACCTTATCTCGCCATCAAAACCCATCATCAATTGGCTAAAGACGAAGGTAGCAACTTCCCACAAGATTCTCACACGTCATACTTATGTAGATGACCTAATTGCTGGTGCATCTGCCGAAAGGGAAGCTCTGGAACTGCAGACTCAACTCATAGAACTGCTTGCAAAAGGTGGCTTTGAACTAAGAAAATGGGTATCTAACTCTGCCAAATTAAAACAACACCTTCCTCATTCTCATCATGAATCTCCAGTGTTTTTACAGCCATCATCGGATCCGACATTTTCCATTCTTGGAATAGGATGGTTTCCAACGACTTACTGCTTCAAATATATGTATTCTAGATTATTCCCAAGCATTTGACTCTATTGATCATGAATTGTTATTGGCCAAAATGAAGTGCTATGGCTGCAGTGAAAAAGTTGTTTGTTGGTTTCGGTCCTATTTGGAGTCCCAAATACCAAAATTGCAGGCTACCAAAATTGGGAGTGAGACATCAGATCCGCTTTGCAAATTGCGTGGTGTTCCTCAAGGTAGTTGTTTAGGACCCGTGCTGTTCAAGTTGTACACGTATGACTTGTCCAGAAGTGTAGAATATTGTACGACACACTTGTATGCTGATGACTGCCAACTACACTTGTCATACAAGCCAGACAAAACATCAGAAGCAATCCGGCTCATCAATGCTGATTTGCACAGCATTTTCAATGGTCTGTCATGAATGGCCTTGGATTGAATGTTAACAAGTGTGTAGTCATGCATACTGGACTAAACATTATGATGCAGGAATTGAGTAAATCTGCTATAGAAGTCACCCTTGATGGCATGAGATTGTCTGTTTGCGACACTGTCAACACGCTTGGTGTTGTACTTGACAAAGACCTCTCTTTTTCTGACCATGTCACATCTGCAGTTCAACGCGCAGTGGGTAGACTGAGAGGTCTTAGCAGATTTAAAACTCTACTGCCGGAATATGCCAAAATGCAACGCATGCGGTCCTTGGTCCTCCCAGCCTTTACATATTGCTTTCCTGCATATGGAAACAGGATCTCTAAGGAGGATATGGCAAGAGTTCAAAGAATTCAAAATTCTGCTATAAGGTTCATTTTTGGCCTTAATCGCTTTGACCACGTGTCCTCCTTCCGAGATGCTGCAAAGCTCATCCCAATGGATGACATGTGCAGGAGGCTGACCTGCTGCCTGGTCCACAAAGTGCTCACGCTGGGAGAGCCTCGGTACCTCAGCGAGAAACTTAAGTACAGGGGGGGGGGGGAGATCTGAGGTTGGAAGAAAGTCATTTTCTTATTTTGGCCCGCAGTTGTATAATGGCCTCCCTCGGGACATAAAGAGCTCCAAATCATATGGCTCATTCAGTGCCGCAATGCAGAAAAACAAATTGTGAATTATTGTAAATGTTTTTTCTTTTTAGTTATTTTGTATATTATATTTCTGTATATATTAGTTTAGTTTAGTTTTAGTTTGACTTGAGTAAGTTTGAAAAACATGTATATGAAACTCGCTTGCAAATAAAGGCCTTTTTATTTATTTATTTATATAATTTCCATTTCACTTGTGAAACTCCCACTAAACGTAAAGTGTTCAGTTTGATTGCACAAATTTATGATCCTTGTGGATTCTTGTCTCCATGCATGATGACAGAAAAACGCGTCATGCAGCTACTGTGGACTTCTTGAAATACAGTGATTGCGTCACATAGCGGTGAGTAGAAACAGAAAGTGACACATTGGAAAAACAAGTTTAGCATCCTCCGTAAACGTCTGTTACAATACAATCACCCACTTCAGTTGTGATTTTTTACTTTACACTTTACACAACCGCCATTGATAGCTCCGTCAATGAGTGGAAATTTTGTTTGTAAGCTATTGGCGACTAATAAATGTAAGATTCCCAGCCGTATACAACACTGATTTAAGGTCTTCTTCCCGGTTATCAAAATTCAAGAACAATTTTATACACAAAGAATCTCTGGTTCCTGACCTGGATGATGCCTAGTTATTTAATTTCATTTATGGTTAAACATTGCACTTGCGATTAATTAAATCCGTCATGTAAGAAAAACTTGTCTTGTATAAAACTTAAAAATAGCCTAAAAATATATAATTCTGAGCAATGTACAGACAAAACTCTAATTTTATTTGTATAGGTTATTGAAGCAGTCCATTTTATGACTGTCACTTGTGATTTTTTTTAAGATTAATCAATGTGGCAGATTGCGTGTAATAAATATAAAGGTTACTTACAGTCTTCGCAATCCTGTTAATTGAGCACTACGGCCGTTTCGGAGATAACTCCATCGTCGGGTGCGTAGTCATTATACACTAATCTGAGCTATTTACATATTTACATTTTTTACGTGGTTTCTTCATTTTCATTGCGTCAAAGTTTAATAAATAGTACATACAACACAAAACACGGACACGACACGAAAACATTAAGGCACGTGCACGGCTAAAAACTGACGACCGACTCTTTGTGTTGTATGTACTATTTATTAAACTTTGACGCAATGAAAATGAAGAAACCACGTAAAAAATGTAAATATGTAAATAGCTCAGATTAGTGTATAATGACTACGCACCCGACGATGGAGTTATCTCCGAAACGGCCGTAGTGCTCAATTAACAGGATTGCGAAGACTGTAAGTAACCTTTATATATTTTTTTTACTACTCTTTGTATATTTTTCACGTTTTCATGTATTAAAATATGAGTTTTAATTTAAACAAATAACTAACTATGTAATAATTAAACGTTACAGGTTAGTATAGGGTAATAGTATTCATACCCTGGTGTTATTGAATAATATATGGACCAATAAACCTGTATATGCCTACTTTAATAAATCCTTTATTTTGAACTACTGTAAGTTATATTTTTCTATATTTATTCTAGATGTCTCCTTCCGACTTACAGAAAATACTTGTTAATGATAACAAACATCTGTCGAAATCAGTAGTCCAGTCTAGTTGTGTGTCCGGCCAGTGTATGAATATGAATGCGAGTTGTGAGTGAGATGACGAAGCTACAGTCGCGTTGCAGGGCCGGCCAGAGCGGCTGAGCGGTGCGCTACGTGACGGGTGGAGGGGACCCGAGCGCGAGAGAAATAATGATAATCTTTAAAAAACGATTCCGATACGACCATTTGACCGAATTAATATCTGAAAACGGCAATTTGTTTTTAAAATTTGTATTTACAAAATGACTACCTGCGATAAAAAAAATATTATATAAAAAATCTTCATAACACTTTTTTGTTAATTAATTAAACATTGTCAGGAAAGCGTTATTGTCTTATTAATATCATTTACAAAACAGTTTATAAAACAAAAATCTGATCATAAATCCGGAAATTATTAGTACTGTAGTACAAATTTGCCGCAGAGGTGCTGCTATCTATCGGGCCAGAAACACAACTTTTTTAGGGATGTTTAGCCTTAAAGCCTGTTATTTCAGAACAAAATTACACCTTATTTATAGTTATAAAAAATCCTAACCTTAGAAATATTTTTTTTTAAATGAAACCTTACTCGGAATTTTTTCATTAAGTAGTAAGTAATCTAGTGATCTCGACAAAGTCCGTTTCCCAGGAAACGGACTTTGTACCGGTAATACATATGTCCCCTTTTCTCAGGAACTAAAATATATAGAACCATGAAATTTTTACAGAATATATTTGAAGCTATTTCACAGAAGTGGTACCAAATTTATTAATATACTCTACCAAAAAAAATTCAACTGCCACTTATACACACAAAAAAGTGAAATTTAAGGTATGTTTTTGAAAAAAAATCAGACATAAAAATCGTATTAAAAGTAAATAATTTTGGTACCAGTTTTATACAAAAGCATGAAAACTGACCGTACAAACTGACCTTTAAAAAAATTCAGCTCTAGTGGTTACTAAGCAAATGGGACATTAAGGTTGCTAATTTTGCATTGTTACCATAGGGCGTATGGTAACACGCCCTTAAGCTTATAGGCTAATACGATGTTATCAGGGGTTTGTTACATCTACTCTGAATCTCAGGTTGGGGTGATCGGGCGGCGTCAGAATTTAATATTGTGATTTCATTATTTGGTTATTAAACATTCAATAGTCCTGGAGAATGAAATATTTAGTATAATAAGTTGTAATAAATACTCTGTAGGCCTAGCAGATTATGACTTGAACTTGAGATCAAGTTGACTGTTCAATGTTCTGGTTGATGTAATAATTAAGGGATAGGCAATCTTCACACAAGGATTAAAAGTTTAAATTTGGTTCTGAAACAATTTATTACTTAGAATTCTTCTTCTAGGTGAATTTTATGTTCTGGAATAGGCTTCAAATAGTTGTTTTTTATGTTAAAATTTAGTATGAAAGTTCAAAAAGTTATAGCCCAAAAATGTTCTAATGGCTTCCAGGTAAAGGTTTTACAGGAGTGATCTCACCCAATTTAGATGTTTTCTTCACAGGTCAAAATACTTCTTGATGTTTATAAAAGGGACATTATATTATTTCGTGTGTTATTAGACGTATTTTTATTTACTTTCCATAAAATTAATAAAACGTATAATGCTGATTAAGAAGTTATTAATCCGACAACCCAATATCATCGGCATGGGACGCAATGGTGTCATGTAACATATGTAATAAGCGCATTCCACTATGAAGTGGTGCTATCATTACCGTTACTGCCATATGTGCACCTTCGGTTATTAGTATTCATGTTGCCATTGCTCACATCCCCCCTATATGCTATCGTTCTACCATTTACCTATTTACATAATCAACATATGTTCTCAGTTTCACCAATGAATACAATGGTTTCATCTTCCATTCAAATAATATATGTGTTTGAATGTTTTAGGTGGCTCACTTTTTCAACTTTTTTTTAAATAGGAAATTATATGCAAATTATTCAGGAATTACTTCTAAGGTCGTGTATCCAATCTTGATTGGTTTAGAACTGGTTTTTAATCCCACCGCATGAACACAGAAAATAGAGAATAAACACGTAGTATAAAAATAGAGCTTTGAACGTAAATCGCATACAGTGTAACATCAATTCCACGTGGCTTCTGATAACAAGTGTCATTTTCAAATACCTTAATAACATGTTATTGCAAACCTCGAACTTTGAAAACAAGTCTTATTCTGTAATACTAATGATAGATTGGCTATCGATGTTCTAGGACTTAATATTTTGTATTGGTTCAAAGTTGAAATAGTATTACATTTGACAAGTGACACAAAACAAATCAATTGTAAACAACAAGAGGCCCTCCACATAAACTGAATGAAACATACTTAAAAATTGTCTTTATCTGATCCATAAGGATGACATATTTCAAACAGATTGTACTCCTCAATTTAATGTATTGAATTTTTAATAGTTGATAAGCAACTACAACAATACAAATAATACAGTTACCACACTCAGGGCTGTTACCACTAACCTTTGGGTCGGAACTTTTGGGTATAGTTTTTACTTCCGTCCATAAGAGCAAAAGTAGTTATTTTCAGCCCGTAAAAGCAACTTTCGTTCGTTCATGACCTCTCGGAACAGCTGAAAACACACCGTTGTGGACTAAAATCTATTTTATAAATGAAACAAGAAACATGTTTTCGACCAATATTTCTGGTATGCATAACACTTTGTGTAGCATATCCTTAGCGGTAAAATACTCGAAAATAAATCACATCAAAAGGTTGGAGTCTCCCCCAACATTAGTACAGTCGGGGGTCGCTAGGGGCACATTTGTCTCTATTTGCATTCTTTAGGCCCCCTGAGTTGTATACATAACAGTATTGCAAGATCTGACACGTTCAGATGAATATGAATAGGCCTCCAGGCTCGCACTGCTTCTACCTGCTTCTCAGTTGAATTTATATTCTGGGTTGTGGAAAATATGACAAGCTGGAATGTAAAAAATATGATTGGATGTTTTAAATTCCTGTAAAGGAATTTAATAGTACAAATACAATAAGCTTAGTTGGTTTTAAACAAGTTAAAATTTTCCATAGGCTATGTAAAAAATTCTAACAAAACTTTAAATTCCAATTCTTTGCTATTTAAGGGAAATGTAATCAATGTTCCATAACATTAAACACTAACAAATCTGATTCCGATTTGTGTTAGATCAATACTTCTAGAATACAATTCATGGCTATGTCGCTTGCTTGATTTACTTAACAGATAGTGGATACATGGATCTTGTACATTTCTAGGGCGTCAACAGTTCTCAACGATCAAACTGATCATTTAGTGCCATGTAAACAATAGTTGAAGTCAGCAATAGCTGTATTCGGGACTATCTGATTAGACGTTATTCTCAGTCCCCATTCGTCTGGTATTAGATATTTCATCAATAAATAACACAATGCTTAATCATGTTAGTAGATTAAAATATAAGTAGCTGTAGACTAACCAACACAAGTGGACTTCTCATCCCATTGTAAATTTTGAAGTTTGTTTTTCGTGTCTAGTTCATGTACGGTGACACTGGCCGCTAGTGTCGACGAAATTTTGTTTGTATTGTTTTAAGGTTGATTTCATGATTTCAGCTTTACTGTTTGGTTATATGACTAGAGGACGAGTTATTGTTTATGATTAGATCGTATTATTTGGTTAAACGAGGTTTTAAATGACTGAAATAACAAGAAACAAATTGTAAACAAAACATGACCTCTACAGTGCACCCTACAGAACTAACAATAAAATTGGCTTCAGCCTTCAGCTGTTCCATAAGGATGAGAAATCTATAAGGGAGTATGTTTGATCTTCTGTATCCAATAGTCAATGGTTTGATCTATGTTTTTACTTAGCCTGTCCATCGTATTGAATTGTTCCATTATCGGATTGTAATGATTCGAACTTCAACTAATCAGCTGTTCAGGCCAATTGTTGAGTGGTGCAAGCGGTGCAAGTGTTTGGTTCGATGTTTCGTTGCATCACTGTCAGTGGCAATGAGAGGCTATAAACGAAAACATAACCTCTCTTAGAAGCCATGAGTAGTGATTTTTAGTAATTAAAACCTTTTCGTTGGTAAAGAAGTGTACACAACTCGCGTAAATAGTGTATCGTTGCGTAAACTACTATTTTAGTCAGAACAAAACTCAAATAGATGTTCAGGTAACAGAACTTACCGATCAACCACAGATATTTTGGTATTTTTAGTTTATTGTATGCTGCCTACTAGCTGTTTAGATACACACATCTTTACGTATTCCTGGATAATATACTTCGCCAGATCTACGAGTATTTACAGATGTTTAAGGGGTTGAAAGCTCGCAGTCTCCCATTTCATTCTAACCACCCTCACATAATGCTGGAGAGGGTTGGTAATGAAGCCGTGCCTCATGTTAATTAAGTTGTAAGATCAAATTTTCCCCTTTTAAATTCCCTGTCGTACTTTCCTTTTAAAAGCACCCCAAAACACACAGACGGTGTTACTAAAAGCTCTAGAGTGTGCTATTAGGTGTTAAAATACTCTTAATTTTATATATCTGCTAGATTACACTTTCGTTACATGTGCAAAAAAAGTAAAAATAGACTTACTAGTGGAAAATAAGATTAGTACGTTATTTCTGCACCCAGTATAAATAATAAAAGAGTTTGCCAAGTAATGCGTATAGCCTACACTTTTAGTCGAATGATATTTTCCACTGTGAAATTTCATGTTAGTTATTTTACATGAACTCTGGTTGTTTTTCAAATTACCTTGAAAAATATAAGGGTGGCAGTTTACAACATGTTAGATCAATTAATTTTTTTAATCCCATGTGAAATCTCAAGACCTACATAAGCCATAACAGGTGTAAATCTTAGATCCTAAACCCAGTTTTAGTTTTACAAACAGCCATAAAAAGGTATGTGAACACCAAGGAATGTGTAGGCCTACAGAGTAGTCTAGAACAAATGTTAAATGCACATTAGTTACCAAATAATGACAAATACACGCAAAATAATAAATTACCGAAGAACGGTGCTAGTTGATTGCTACTTCTTTTGTCTAAATTTAAAGTAATTAATTTGTATTTTTATGGTGACCATACGAATGTAGGTATTTTAAAGGTATAAATGGAATTATTGTAATAGCGAACAGAACTGGTTTTATTTTTACTGTCGTGGCCAATAAATTGAATACTTTTGATTGTTATCAAATCTCCTTTAAACATGTCTACGTTAATGCAGAGTAGACTGAGGAACGTTTACAGACACAAATACCGGCCTATGTAATGGACAGGTGTGTAATATGCATTGTGTAAAATAACAGCCCAGCCGTTTCGGATTCAATATTTTTGGCGTTCAAACTAAAGAAAAATGATACCCATATTCACGCACTTTTAGGCAACACCTACCGACAAAATCAGGGTTTGAGGTACTGTATAAATAGATTTTACCTTATCAACGACGAACTATGTTAATTTTAACTACTCTACTACTTCGCAACATAAACTTAAAAGCGAAAATATAACCCTGTACTCCTCCAAAACTGGTCCAAAACTAACACTTAAAGCAGAAAATTCGAATAATCACTCTCAAAATAGCTCTACAGATTGTATCTTGGCGGAAAGTAATACAAATACGATCCGCCCGGCGGCCAATTCTTGCCGAGAAATAAAAATACTCGTAAATAATTTGTAGCGTTACGAAACTGGCATCTGACAATCGTGGGATTGGCAAGGACATCAGCTGTTTATCAGGTACATATATAGCATATTGTCATCCTCTGTCCCACACACACTACAGGGCCAGAGGTGCTAGGACGACAGGAGGACAAGAATCTACAAGGCATCACCATGGTCCATATACAAGCCGTCGTTATTCTCGCTGTAGTTGGAACAGCCCTGTGTCTACCCCAAAGGTAAATTAAGTACTTAATTAATAGTATATAGTAAATATATAGTAAATATATAGTAAATATATAGTAAATGTTATAGTAAATATATAGTAAATATATTTTACTATTCATTAACTTTTATTTATTATCTGCAAGGGTTGACTTATTTTTTTATTTTTTATTAGCCTTTATCACTACTATTGAGAGAAAAACTAATTAGCTAGTACTCTAAATATCATGTGTTGAACAATTGCATGGAGTTAAGAAGTGAAATATTTTATTAAATTATTTGTTACCTCAGTTCAATCTTTGTAATAGCATGTTTCTTTGCATGTAAAATTAGTAGAATTATTTATTCATTATTTAATTGAGATGCAAGAAAAGTCCATTAGTTATATTATAATATTTATTACACCAAAATACCATTAATTTAATTTAAGCTATTCCATAAGAGTTTTATTTATTTATTTCCAAAAGAAATTTATGTATTTAAGGTAAATTTAAGGTATTTAGGTACAGGTAATTTCTACATTACATTAACCTAATTTAGAAATAATATTTATTATTTCATGTCAGGGATACTGTATTAGAACTTTTTATGGTTGATAACACCACTGCATATTATTTGTAAAAGCTTGCGGATTGCTTTGCACCCGCGTAGCCAGAAGTCTGCTCAGATGTATTCGGTGTATTTATACGCTAGTGTGAACACCCTCATTTAAATAACAGTGAGGGTGTTACAAAAACGTCTAAATACGGTGTAAACAGTCCTTAAGAAATACATTGAATGTGTGAGCAAAGTTAGTTACTTTAAAATGCCAGTTTCTTTTATATTATTTTAATATTACGAGTTTTATCTTAGAAAATGAATATAACGGACACAGTTATTACTATACTTCAACACATCAATCGTCAAAAACTAAATGTTAAGGAAACACCACAATATAGCTAAAAAAATATCAAATTGTAGGAACTGGTGTGTGTTTGCGTACAAAAATTATCTACATCAATTTAAACTTAAACTTGGAAGTTATATTTATCGTGTGGGCTGTCGTAAGCTTAAACATTTGGCTTCATGTTAAATCTCCATAAGAAAAAGTCAATTTCCATTTTTGACCCAAATAACATAAATATTTTCAAAATACAAATAACACCTGCACATACAGGTTGTTTCAGAACACCCTACCAATATTTTAGGGCATTGTGTGTGTTGTGTGAAACTTAAGTGTGTTTCATCCTTTTTCCTTACTTCAAAAAGAGTATTTTGCGATCAATATTTTAAGTCCTAATGTATTTTTTCAATATTTACAGGTTCGTCCCCACACTCTCGAGGAGTTACGATTCCGATCCGTCCGGAGTGTATAGATCAAGGTACGTACTCTACTAAAACATATTTGTTAGTATAATTAAAATAACTTATTACAACTATGACATATATAGTATGTATATTGTTATTTATTTTATCATCACCATAATGTAAACAATTTTTTATTAATCAAAATCATCATTGTTTACTTGACTAGCGCAGCATTCTAACGTATTTATATATGGCAGAAGTATTTTAGAAGCTTTTGTTAAATTTGCATATTGTTGTAATATTCTAAATGAGCTGACCAGTTTATGAAACTAACGCTATTATGCTATGAATATCCAACGAAATTCAATGCTTGTTGTTTTACAATAATAGACCAAATAAGATTGTCAAAGTAGCATTAATAGACCTTTTCGGGATCGTTACCTATTAGTTCTGATGATTGGAGTGTATAATACAAACTATCACCTATTTTACTTGGTGTGGAAAATTCAATCTCTACCGCACAATTTGATTTAAACAAATTTTAAGTAATGAAGCATAGTTTGGAATTACAGTGATTTGAATTTATATCAAAATGTACAGTAACTAGATTGAGGTCTAAACTTGAAATCCGCATTTTGTGGTTTTAACACTATTAGGTTTTCTTAAAATTTACGGGAACGGTTACGTTTTCTATAGGAACGGCCCAAAAACCCTGTTCTAGCATTTATGATACCCAATGACAAATCGCATCTAGTTACAGAATCCTGGGATTGAACTAGCAAACATCATATTTGAAGGTGATCACTGTCATCAGCTACCTCGACAATATATAAATCATATACAAGTTTTCGTTATTCTTAAAACTCGTTATTATGTAGTACTTAAATACTTAAACGCTGGACACGTCTGAATGATCACTGGAAGCCCCAGAAACGTTGTGGTCTTGAATAATACCACCCAAGTGCTTATATTCTCTTTAAAATGCATAAACCCTAATTAACATCCTCTCATTTCATCCCCTTAAGCCGTCCGGGCTAAAATAAAACTAGAGTAAAAGTTAAGTCTGAAGGTCGAGCGGAGTGAAAGCTGCAACAAACAAAGATTCCGATGTCTAAGAAGACACTTCAAGGCCAAAAGATGAAAACACTAGTGCTGGTGGACCTGGTTCACAACACGACAATCTAATGGGATGTCTGGTATTTGTGTTATTCAATAATCCAAAAATATTTGTGTAAACACATAATTATGTATATTCTGGGACCAGAGATTGATTGTGAGGTTAGTTTGTGTAGTGTGTTTTGTCAAAATAGGGACAGCCTACGGCTTGGCTAGAGGGGTTAAAGCTCCACCAATCATCAATGGGCGTCAATATCATGATTCGCTAGTTTGTAGTCCATCAGGTCCATCTCTAGAACTCTCTAAATCGGATAACTCTCGTCCAAAATCATTACTATTTATTTTAAGTTCTTATACCTAACTTAAAGTCCTTTGTTCGATTTAAAGTAAGATCGGTTGTGGACCTAAATGCTATTTGCCATTGGCTACGAATTAATTAATAATACTGTCTAACAAGACATCCAAACGGTAAACAAACGCGCTATTTGGACCGTCCGCTTAAAAAATTAAAATAATAGCAATTGCTTAGATAATCACCAATAAACGTTATCAGAAATCTGACACATACTTTCTCCCATAAACAACCTTTATCATGGGTAAGCTGTGGTAGTAACTATGATATTTTCTGGGGGAAATAACAAAATTTGCACTTACTTTCGAACCGTAATTGACATCAATGGAACGGTCAAACAGTTTTTTATCCATTTTTTCTGCTTTTCCCGGGTTTTTGTGGGAAAACAACAAGTTCCAATAACTTTTGAAGCTTAATTTTAAACCTAAAGCGTATGGTGTAAACTTATACGGATTGTATAAGGGAAGAAAGTAAAAAAAAACATACAAGCCGTTATTAAGTATTGCGCTTTTAAGGTAAAGTGGTCCAAACCGCTCATATTTTTTTATATACTGTGGATTGAACCCGTCCCTCTCCAGGCTAGCTTTTATCAACATTGTCATTTTCCAGTTTCCAGACCGGGGATGGAGCCCTAGTCCAGGAGAGCGGGTTCCTCAGACCAACCAATGACCGCACCGGAGTCGTCGTAGGCAAGTCGGGGAGCTTCGCCTACACTTCACCCGAGGGTAAACCAGTCAGTGTCTCCTACACAGCTGACGAATACGGCTTCCACCCCGTCGGTGACGTCCTCCCTGTCGCACCCCCGGCAAACCCACCCAGCCAGCAGACCTTCTAAATCTTTATTGTTTTGTTAAGTTTGTAAAATAAAATGTCTTAAGTATTTTTTTGTTTCTATGAGACTATGCTTGGATCTTTGCAAAGTTGGAGGGCCTGAGTGGTATAGCGCGGGGATTCTGTTCCTGAGGTCTTAGGTTCACGTCCTGCCAATCACCAATGCATCGTGTTTAAAACTGCTTCTAGAATGCGAAGGTAGCATATACAAATCTCACGGTGCCTTACGGTGGAAGTCACAGACAATGTGGATTAGGCATTTTAACTAAAAGCATTGACTTTTCGATACTGAAGTAGTCACGCCTTGTACTTGGACTAGCTGTTGAGTCTTCAAATGAACAAATACGAATTAGCAACTAAGTAACTGTAAGTGTGTTAAGTCAAAATGCTAATGCCCCCTTCGTTTCAGACTTTCCAGCCACGAGGTACTACCTTAAATTGAACTGATTTAGTAAACTGCAACACTATAGCGTTGTCCATATTGTTGGAAAACGATACAAATTTAGTGAAACTGTGACATAGGCAGAGCATATTAGCCTATTGCCTATAGCATATAGCCTATAGCCTATAGCCTATAGTCTATTGCTTTCAGTACAATTATTTTTTAATTTGTATTTCATCAAATAAAATAAATCTTTTAGTGTAAATAAAATATTATGTATGGAGATTCAGATTGCAGCTAAATCAGAAAATGATAACGTTTTACAAGGTTAAAAAAATACTTTAATGACCATAAGAAAAAATGACTACATCAAAGGGTAGTATTAACTAACCTTCAAAACTCAATCATTAACCTCATATCATAAATCTTTACAGTTCTGGTAAGCTCTGAAATACAATCTTAATTTACACCCAGAAGTCCTATTTATGAGTATCAACGTTCATTCACTGTCTACAGTTATACTCACTGCGGCCTAAAAACCCTCTCCTCAGAACAACAGATTCAACGGACTCTCCTTTCTATTTTAGTCCGACCAACAAACTACTGCCAAACCAAACCCAATATTCAGTCAAAGCTGAAAAATGATGCGTTTAACATTTCAACACAAACCATCATTGTAAACTTGAAACTCAAACACTCTTCTTTTAAAAACTTGAGACTCCGGGACCAATCACACTTGTTTCACTCCCCGTACATCGTACACATCTTGTACCATCTCCTGCAACGTGTTGTCGTACCGGAGGACATCTTTCTCTGTGATGGGGTTTGGGTAGCGGACTCCTCGGAAGTTCTCCATCCATCGTGACATCAGGTGACAGGAGTAGTAGGTCTTCCAGGAGTCCCACTTGGTAGTGTAGATCTTCTTCCGGATGTCGTAGGTGCCGAGGAGGTCGCGGAGAGAGTGTGCCAGGTAGGGCTTCTCCAGAAGGACGTTGGCTGGCTGTCTACCCGCGTTGTAGTACCAGTGCTCCGGCTTGTAGTCCTAGGAAGGATGGAAAATTACATTGAGGACAAAAAGTGATTTTCAAAGATAAATAAACCAGATGATAGCTTATAGGCTATTTATTTCCCTATTCTAAGGTTTACATTGTTGAATTTTATATGAATTACTAACCCGATGAGTTGTTTCCAAGGGGTTAAGTACCAATTACAGTATGCCAATTGGTATATTGCCAATTGGCCAATTCGGGGTGTGCCGATTGTTGGTATGGTACTGGCATGGGGGGGGGTAGTCATCGATCTCTATAATAGAGATCGATGGGGGTAGTATGCCAATTATCTCTGTTTTGGACATACAATTACCTAAAGCTTTGCTCTTATGAAAGTAGTCAGTTACTAGACTGATAACACTAGCTACACAGGTATGAATTGCTTCTTTTGAACTTAATCCTCTCCTCTTATGTTCTAATTGTCTCTTATGTTTCCCTTATGACTTTCAATGAACTTCCCCAATCTATTACGGGGAGCTTAATCAAATTTTCATTTCAACTCATGGTTTTAACTGTGCAAAATACACTTCTACCACGTTTTGAACTAGTTTCAGTCCAAAGACAAAGTCCAGTCATAGTTGAAGTATCAAACTCGAAATTATCCATGATAAAAATCAAGGAGCTGAATGAACGGAAGACAGTCTGACTCACCTGCCCCTAAGGTAAGAGACATGGAAAACTCTTAACTCACAGCTCTTTTACTTGTTCCGCCAAACAAATACGTGTTGGTAACTTAGGGCCTACTTCAGAGGTTCCCAATGGCTGGAGAAGTTTAGGTAATTTTCCGCCAAATAATATTTTGCCGGTAGAGATTAAAAAACTGGTTGGATGGTGGATGTCGAATTGAGGAGGATTAATTCAATATAATAATACATATTATTCTGAAGATGTTATTCTAATGCCTTCTCGATTTGACAACTGTCATCAAAATAGTTTTATAATATCCACCTCAGAGAGATTTGGTGGAAAATTACCCAGACTTCTTCAGGCTCTGAAGCCAGCGTGTCCTCTAAGTTACCAAGGCGCTTAAACTTACACAATCTGAATGTACCATGTTTTCTCACCCGGTATCCCTCGTGCCATTCCCTTAAAATTCTTGCATCCTTGTGAGCCAAAACCACTTGATTCATCATCGCCTTGCCAGGTCTCCAGGCCACTACCATCTCGTACCTCCTCAGGTCGTCCAGGCTACGAATCAGGTAGGAGTCGTTGTCTACGTAAATGCCGCCATATCTGAACAATTGCATTGCGAGTGTTTGTATAGAATCATAACGTACCTCTCTCTTGACATTTGGAGAGGTTTGTCTATTTTTGGTGGGTTAGACCTAGACCACGTGTGTTTTTGGAACAATACTAAGCACAACACTTCGAATGCATTTTCACTATTCAATACATCAAACGTAGTATCTGATCGCTTGGATTTACTTCAACTTTTAAATCCCAGTAAAATAAAATTATGTTTTTTCACATTGAAACCCTGAACATGCTAACAAAATAGAACTCCTAGATTTTTAGAACCATTGCAAAGTGGTTGTATTGAAATTAATATTTTAGGGTACGAACTATAATGTGTAGGTACTGTTGCTTCTGGTATCTTGAAAGTTATCTCGAAAATGATATTTCTATAACTTTCAAAAAACCTAATGAACACATTTTGTGCAATATACTCTTTGAAATGCCCTTCCAAGAAATGCATTCCCAGTACCTAGGCAGCCGGACGTACATAGTATTTTTTGTTTTTGTTTTTGTTTTTTGTTTTTTTGTTTTTTTTTTTTGCCAAAGGAAAGGAGGGAAAATGCTTTTACGCATACAGGTAGTGTGCAACTCCTGCATTTATCAGATCAGACTACTCACTAAAAAAGCTCCTCTAGTCTGTTGGACACAGACCTGGAATTGTATGTCACATTACTTCAAGTCGGGCCAACATGTGACCTAAACCCTCAGAGCTCGCACCGTTTCTGGCATTCATATACTTAATGAGCTACACCGCATCACGGTCAAGGTCAAATGTTTTGCTAATGAGCTACACCGCATCACGGTCAAGGTCAAATGTTTTGCTAATGAGCTACACCGCATCACGGTCAAGGTCAAATGTTTTGGTGCGGAGAATACCCTAGATAAAATGTCAGACACAGGTAATACATAGGCTACATAGAGTGCGCTAATTAAATACAAAAGAAGAAAATACAGAATTATATTTTGATCTCTCCATTCTGGACCCGGATGCCATTTGTATAATCTACCAATTAATTGTTTTATCTGACGAAGACTTCAGATAGTTACGAGATAAGTTTTCGGCACGTCCCTTAGAAAAATACGCTAGAAAATGGCACAGAAATATAAAAACACTATCCATCACAGTAGGTACCATGCATTTTACTTACTTTCTCATTATCTCCAGCCGCGCCACGTCTCCGCCATGGTACAGCCTCCACTCCGGGTTGAGAGGCTGGCCGAACACTTCCTGGCGCAGCTGAATGCGGTTCAATATCAGCACCTGGTCATAAAACAAAAAAACATTTAAGGAATTTGTCCAAATTGTGCTTTGAAACCAACCACTTTTGGGGGAGTGATAAAAACTCACCCTCTTTCAAATGATATTATTTGAACACATAATACAAATATCAAGCTGACGTAAACCACTTCAGACTCATAAAAACTCGTCCAGGTGCAAAAAGAATTAGTAGCCACAAAACGCTCATTTAAATCCAGTACAAATGGTTTCAGACTCAAAAAAACTCACTTACAACGAATCAAAGTTTCTAACTGTTCATGGACATTTAAAACTGATTAAGAGGCCCAACAAATTATTCCAAACGCATCAAACCAACTTACTAATCAAAAAGCTTGAGATACTAAAAGATGAGGTACAAACCTCTCTGAAGCCCGGAGTCTGCAGGAGTATCTGCCAATATTTCCCGCGGAACTCCTCCACATCCGTGTGGATGAACAGCTTTTCCGGCCTCTGGTGCTTGAAGGCGGCCAACACACAGATGAAGTGTATGAAGTTGAACGAGTCGTAGCGGAACTTGACGAAGTGGACATAATTGGGAATAATATAATGTCCATCGGGAGTTCCTGTCTCGTTGTTGAAACCGGTAAAGTTCAAAGTCTTCTCCCAATCAGGAACATTTTCAACTGGAGCTAGTGGTGTATTTACATCACATTCGCATTTCTTCGGTTGGAAAACTCTAAAAGTAGTAAGCTGAAGGATGCACAGAGTGACGAGGAACACGAATGTTTGTATTGAAGTAGATGGAAGTGATCTCATTTGTGGGAATTTGCTTTATGAGGTAGACTCATAATTAATTTATGAGGTAAATCGTCTCTGGTGTTGGCGGTTGCTGAGATGATTTGTGTTGAGACTTTGATGGTCACAGTCGTATACAAGTGGTATTGTAGTTTTACCGACTTATAATCTCCTTAAACTTGTTATTCCTCGCTAATACATCTGAAACAATTTAAATTTAAGAAAATGACTCATAAAACACAAGAAATAAATACGTATAGTAATCATAATAATATAAATAACTAAAATTATAGTAAATACAGTAGTCAACATAGTAAGTACGTTTCCAGGCATTACCGGATTTACAATTTAACGTGTTTTTGTCCGGC